ACTGAATGATTTTCTGTTATGAGTATCTTACTGAATGATGTTCTACCAGACTAATAATCAAGGAAATTTATATTATAACTACAATGAGATACTAATATTTTACAGCCATCAGATTGGCAAAAATTAAAAATGTATAATGTATTGGTGAGCATCGGAACCAAAGAACTCTTATCTGCTACTGTTAGAACTGTAGACTAGGACAACTGCCTCACAAGTTAGTGAACCTAAGAAAGTCAAAGAGGCTTGTGCCTTTTAGCAATTCTACTCCCAGATATATAAGCCTACAGAAAGTTGTATATATACGTAAAATGATCACATCCAAAGACATTGTTTGTGACAAAAAAAAAGAAAATAACCTAATGTTCATCAAAGGAGAACAAATGAAAGTGTGATTTATTCACGTAGTAGCATACATATAGCAGGGGAAAAGGAAGAAGGAACTACAGCTGTGTGTATCAGAATGGATAAATCTCAGAAACATTGAGCAAAAAATAAAGCAAATTATGAAACAGTATATACAATAACATTTATAGAAAGCTCAAAGACCTGCAAAACTGAATAAAGTATTTAAAAGATACAATGTTTGAGATAAAAGAAAGCAAGGGAATGGTTGTTAGAAAACTCAGGGTAGTGAGTACTTCTGTTGGGGCTGGGGAGAGGAACGCACTGGAACTGGTAATGCTTTTCTAAAGGTGGGTGGTGGGTTGTGCACATGTTCACTTCATTATTCCCTCGACTATGCATATCAGTTATCTGCACTGTGTATTTTATGTATTTCACAATTATAAACCCAAAAACTATTCAATGCAGAAAAATGATTTAAGAAAAATTTAGGCTGGGCGTGGTGGCTCACACCTATAATCCTAGCACTCTGGGAGGCCAAGGCGGGAGGATCACTTAAGCTCAGGAGTTCAAGACCAGCCTGAGCAAGTGCAAGACCCCGTCTCTACTAAACATAGAAAAAATCAGCTGAGTGTTGTGGAATGTGCCTGTAGACCCAGCTACTGGAGAGGCTGAGGCAGAAGGATCGCTTGAGCACAGGAATTCGAGGTTGCAGTGAACTATGATGATGCCACTGCACTCTGGCCAGGGTGATAGAGTGAGACTCTTTTCTCCAAAAAAAGAAAAAAAGAAAAATTTAAACATGGGGATGAGAGCCAGGGCCTGGAGAAACTCCAACAGAGCAGCCAGTGGAGCAACCACAATGATGGTTCCAGGAGGTTCCTGAGTCCTCGAGTGTGGGAATGAAGCCCCCAGAACATGAAAGAGCAGGATAGTGGCAGAGATCAACCCCCGAGAGACTCAGAGTCCAGAGAGAAGGGTAGGTGGGGTGGCTTAGTTCTCCCTCCCCACATCTGTGGCAGTCAGTGGGCTCCCGAGCTGCTGGAGAGCTCTTCTACCCTCACAAGCCCGAAAGCTGCTGCCGCCAGTGAACTGGGAGCTTCGTGAGGATGAAGCACCAGGCAGCCAGTGCCCCCAGGGTCACGTCCCATTACCACAGACCTGAGCCAAGACAGGAGGTGCCAGATTAATTCTCCACCCACCATGCACCTTTGTCCTCCCAGGGGGGCCTCAGCCCCTCAGTTCTCATCTCACTTGTTGCCACACAAACATTTCCCAACTCCAGCCCAGACTGCGGGAGACACGGGTTCAGTGGGTCCCGGGGATCTGCATGACGCCAGAGTCTTGACATTCTGGATGGGCTGCCTTCTGGAGAGGGGGACAGAAATGACCAGAGTGCTAGCTGTCTTCTGTTCAGACTCTTTTCCTCCCCTTCCCCTGTCCCACCCGTGGCTGCTGAGAGACCATTGAGCCAGGCCTCGCAGGAACTGCTTCTCCTCTCTGTTGGTGCATCCACCACACCGGGCCTTCCACAGACAGTGGGGCTCAAACCTTTCAGACTCTTTTTCTCCCCTTCCCCTCCCCCAGCTGCAGCGAGAGAGATAATAGAGCCACCATACCAAGGCTTCCACAGAGAATGGAGCTCAGACCTTTCCTCTGGGGGTCCTACAGCGGACTGAGGGATGCTCAGGCTGTGAGCTTCCTGCCCACTGGCCCTCCCTGGTGCCGCTCCCTGATGTGGGGACGCCCC